AGTAAATACGTGAATAAGTTACCATTAACATAATAAAAATCTTTCGTATTTTATGTGCTGTTCATCCGCACATCATAAAATTTTGCAATAATATTTATAGTGGGTTTCAGATGCAGAAGAAAACAATCCTTTGAGATGAAAAAAATTCTTTCAAGCGAGTGGAGCCGCGTGCAAAAGTTAGTGTAGTAAAAATTTTGGTGCGAAGGTTATCTTGTATGTACGTAACAAATAATTTTAATTATTGGGCGCACTGCAACAGAGTTTTGTCACAGAACCCCGTATAAGTTTAAACATTTTAATTCAGGCATACAATTTCAATTGCTAGCTTAGGTAAGGTAAAAATATACCAATGCTTGCCGTTCGTACCTGGCAACCTTATACCTTTATTAAACTCTGGCAATCCTGCATAAAAGCAGAAAACTAATACTAAACTATTAGTGCAGGGAAATCTACCTTATTCTGTATAATTTGTACAACATTCTACAAAGGAACGGGTGCAATGTTCCACTATCATCATCATCCACAACCATTATTAGTTCAATGGTAGACATAGGCCTCTCCTTGGAAAGGAGGTTTTGGCCTATTGTGCCACGCTGCCCAGACGGATTGTGTCAAGTTTGCCTTTTCTTTGCAGTGATGTTTTCCTCGACCATATATAGGGAAACTGCGACAAGCTTGGGTGGTCATGACTGGATTGCGACTAGAGGATTCGATCCCGGTCGATTTTTATAATCCCGGGATTTCGGGATTACCTACAGTTAATCTCGGGATCCCGGGATAGTCCCGGGATTGTATTGGCAATGGAAAGTGGTAACAAAAAGACAGTAAAACATATAAAAATATTTTTTTTGTTTATCATTTAGTTTTGTGAGGACATGGAATATTTAAGTTTTAAATCTCCAAAAAGGCGGTTAACCAAAATTATACTTTCTTGTTATAAAATAAATAAACTAGTGCCTAGTTTGTTTTGTGTTGCGGTAAATAATTTTTAAAACTAACAATAAACTTCAAAAAATCAACTTCTTTAGACTTATTTAGATAAACTATAAAAAAAACTATATGCTTAAGAGACCAATGTTTATAGATACCTACTCATATTTTTTAATTAAATTGCCCAGAATCTTTATAAATTACACACTTTTACGCATAATCCAGAACCGGTCATTAGCAAAAACAAATGAAATCAGCTGTGTAGACAAGATGGCTGTCAAAACATCAAATCAAGGCAAGTGCGTTTCTTTTTACGCACATTTTTATTGACTTATGTAAAAAATGTATCAATCCCGAAAATCCCGGGATTCATTAAATTTGATCCCGAAAATTTCGGGACTTAAATATGACCCCGGGATCCCGAGATCTCTGTGCCCATTTAATCCCGAAGAATTCTATTTCTAACCGGAAACATGCTACTACAGCTATGTAGTGTATTTTTATTCACACCGATTCCAATAATGTTGGGTGAAATGTATATCGTAATCCAGTAATCTGCGTTTCGTGCCTAACCCGTGATGTCACTTTATTTATGTTACCGACTGACAAGGATTAGAAGCAGTTAATTATAACATCATTGCTTTCATGTGTAAGATATTAATGTCGGTTGTATTAGTTTAAAAGGGTTTTGGAAAGTAAAATATTGTTATTTATAAGCAAATTATAAGTTAAGTTTTTGATGGGCCTACTGATCCAATGATACATCTAGATGTATCTAGAACAAACAATTGTGTGATGAGCAGGATCATTTGTTCTGTATCTGGGTGTAAGTTATCAATAATAGGTATGTATTTAGATTATATTAGTATGTTTATCAGCGTTCTGGTTAGTTCAGTCTCTGCCTAGTTTGGGATCAGACGGCCGTGTGTGACATGTGTGAGGTTATTATTCTTATAGATTTATTTATTTACAAGTTTTAAATTTACTTATTTGAATTGTAGGAGATGGTTTTCGTTATGTTATTAATCATATATCTCCGTTGGTAATATATTTCATAAGCGTTAGTTATAATCAAGAACCAATGATTTTTAAAAGAAATATGTCAGACTTATTGTTATGTTACTAATAAATTTATCAATCAAAATTCTCATCATTCAAAATAAAATCATTAGCCAGATGAAATTATTTATTATTTTCCTAATTTAATTTCAAGTATTGTTTTAAGTAAGTAATAATAATAATAATATTCTACCACATTCACACAACGCCATCTAGTCCCAAACTAAGCAGAGCTTGTACTATGGGTACTAGACAACTGATATAAATACATATATACTTTTTTTTTTGTAAATACATACTTATTATACATAGAAACACCCAGACCAAATCAAACATTAAATGTTCATGCACACAAATGTTTGACTTGAGCGGGAATCGAACCCGCGACCTTTGGAATAGCAGTCCGTTACACAAACCACTACACCATCCGGTCGTCAAGTAAGTAAGTATTTCAAGAAACCAGCCAAAACAATACTTGAAGTGAATGCCTGTATGCGTGCCTGACGTCTTGGCAAAGTAATTATAGGAACAAAGGTAGAAGGTATACAGGAGTAAAGAAAATAATAATAATTTCACACAGGTCACACCAGGCAGTCTGATCTCAAACTAGGCAGAGCCTGTACTTTGGGAATCAGTCTGCTAATAAACATACTTATCATCATCATCATCAGCCTATCGCAGTCCACTGGTGGACATAGGCCTCATAACATACTTTTATATTTCTAAAAATACATACATATTGTAAATAAATAACCGCCAGACACAGAATAAATGATCGTGCTCATCACACAGTTATTTGTCCTGGGTGGGAATCGTACCCACGACCTCTGACTCAGCAGTCAGGGTTCTTCCCCATTCATTAAACCAAAAGGTCAGTTCAAATGGATAAACACCAGAGTAAGGGATGCTTCAAGTCACGATTAGGGTAACCGGGATTTCGTACCCTTGTACCCGTAAGTTGTGGTAACTAGGGAGACAACTAGGATAGATATATCTATTGGCATATAAGGTAACGGGACAGGCTGGCAACGCGCTCGTGACTCCTGCGTTGCAGGCGTCGGTAGTCGTTTTCCATCAGGTGACCTGTCTGCTCGTTTGCCCCCACTTCCATAAAAAAAGGCTTGAGGGGTCTATGGACCCAAGGTGGGAACGAACTTCCGTAAGAAGGGTCGGAAAAAGTCTTGTTACATATTTTTCGGTCTTGCTCGCATCCCCTCAGAGTGTGTAACGTGCAATAAAGAAGTTCATTAAAAAAAACAAAAGAGTTAATTATTTTGTGTTATTAATAATTTAAAAACATAACTATCTGTAACAAATTCTCATGTCTACTGGATTAGGTTCTTTTCGTCGTTTAAGCCACTGTGTTAATTTTGTGATATTTTCTAATAAAATAATTCCAATGATTTTATTTTCCTTAAGTTTATCGTATTCATATCTCTAGAAATGATTTCTGTTCATGTAGCCGGTAATCAGCAATGGCACAAGTCGTTATGATACCATGGCAGTCTAGTATGGAGTTATTCAAGCAAGGAGTGTAAAGAAGGTTATTAAAGGGTCGGCAACGCGTATGCAAGTCCCGTCTGGTTACAATCGTCTGTAGGCTAGGGTTTTCACATAGCATTTCATCTCGTCAGCAACATTTTTTTTTGCCCCCAAAGAAGTATATAAAACACAGATTTTTTGTAATGATTAATTATGCTATGTTATCAGTACCAGACTAAAATGTTGGGCAACAAAGAGAACGGATGAAATACGTCTGTACGTTTCTAAAATGCGAATTTTAAGATGGATGTAGTGTAACTAGGATGGACAAGGTGAGGAATGAATACATTAGAGGAAGCCTGAAAGTAACGCCAGTGGATGAAAAGTTGATATTCAATAAGTTATTCTGGAATGGACGTGTGATGAAAGTTTTATATATGGAAATTGACGGATATAAGAGTAGAGGACGACCAAAGAAAAGATGGATGGACTGCGTAAAAAAGTTATAGCTAGAATAATAGAAGGGAGTATACAGTAAACAGACGAGTGATAGAGGAGCAAACTCATAGCGCTGACCCCAAAATAATTTGGGCAAAGATCAAGAAGCTGATGAATTGATGATGATGGTCAGTTATGAAAAAGTTGAATTATAAAGCTTCTGCTTTATTATAAAAAAATACACCTAGACACAGAACAAATCATCGTGTTCATCACACAATTATTTGTCCTGAGTGGGAATCGAACCCACGACTGCCGGCATAGCAGTCAGGGTCACTAACCACTAGACCAACAGGCCCGTCAAATGTTTTACTTGCTTTGCTATGCTATAAAATATGTATAATTGAGATAGCATACACTTAAGCATCCCCTTAGTTACAGTTAACTCGTTGAATAACACCTTTTTAAATTATTATTTTTGGGTTGTTTGTTCAATAAGGACATGGCAAACCCACCTTTAGTGCCAGCCAGCGATTGCGACGTAATGACAATCGGGTCTCTTACAAATTTCCTGCTAAAAACCATGGCAATTGATTACGTCACTAACCAATTAACTGACAGTTCTCAACAAAGTTAGGTTAAAATTCTCGAGGTCATTTTTGAAATAAAAAATATAACTGTGCGGATGGGGCCTTAATGTTCTGTTTTTTTAGTGAATTACTTTTAAAGTGACTTTTTGTAGTTTTTTTTATTATTACTTGTTCAGCGTTAATTATAATTTATATTTTTATTCCGTATTCCTGCAATTCATTATTACTAGGCACCTGGTCACAATAATAACTGTAAAGCTACGTCAAAGTAAACTTAAAACTATATTAATTAGTTATTTAAGAAAAAATAAGCAAATCGCTTGACTTTGAGAGGAGAAAAAAGGTACTGATCTATTTTGTACTTGTTTATTTACGTTTACTGCTGATTTCCTACTTAAATTGTGTGTTTTTCCAAGTTACTTTAACTTGCTTGGTTCGTAACTTACAGTTAAAGAAACTGAATCATGAAGCTTAACTTTAGAAATCAATTCTACAACCTACTTTTCTTAACCGCCGTCGTTCCCTTAGTGTGGCCGCTTTTCTTCGGTCTACAGCCGCCGTTTTCCTTTTACAGGCTTTACAGGCCCACGCTAAACATCGCCTGCTTGGCCCCAACACGTGCTGAATATGAGGCTCTTCCTTATCCTGGATATTCTCTCCAATTTTTTGCTCATTTTTAACTTGGCAACACTGGTCGTTTAAAATTTTCTTTTCGTCTTTTTGAAATTCGAACTCTTTGTAATTATTATTGTTGTAACTGTCATAAACAGCATTGTAAGTCATTATGGGCTTCTATTGAATTGAAATTAATTCTAAATAATAACAATTAAGTCGCCACACTTTAAGTTTGGCTATAGTATAGTACGAGTAATCTAGGGACTTAATAATCTGCATGTACTCTTAGTTAATGTATGTATATCATAATTCTTATGTTTTTATGTGTCTCTATCATCTCGTAAATGACATATTTAAACTAAGCATGTGAAGAATAAATAATGCACTTCAAGATCTTATCAAAATCTATATTTTTGAAAATCACTGCAGCTTTTTTAGAACACTGATAAACCACTAACTACGCACTAGATACCTAGTCTTCATCGCTCACAAAAAAGTTCAAACGCGCGCCAAAATGTGACAGTTGACGTAGTTTTTTTTTTTCGGGTGACGCGGCCCGCGGCTCATGCGACACTGAATTCAGCCGAGGGTTGATCACAGTCTGAGATTTACAAAATATGTTAGCTATTAATAAACTGTCTAGCTGTGTAGCTCCGTGTCGTTGAGAGATGCCAATTTATTAGTATTTGGATTGAAATTGATGCCGGCAATATATTCCCTTTAAATTTGTTGCGACGAAAGCTCCCGGACGTTTTTATGTCACTCGTTTTCGTATTTTGAATCGATTTTTAATGTGACTTTTTCTCTTAGTTTTTTCTTTATTTCATTTTATAGCGATGTTATTTTTTAAAACATGATTATGTGTATAGTTTTGTTGATAAATCTTTATTTACCAATCAAAAATGAAAGGTGTATAGAGTGTGACTGTTTATCTTTTAACACATAATAAAATTTTACCGTAGAAATGAAATAAAATGGTGTTTGATATGCTGTTTATGTTTAAGTTTTGGATTTATTATGTGTTTCTGGTATTTACAGATGCAGAAATTATTTTAATTTTAAATAGTCTCATATTTTGTGTCATAATACTAAACAAATTTTAGGTAGGTATAAATTTTCAGAATGCGCACACCGTGTCATCCTGATCTCCTTAACAAAATAGTTACAATTAACGTCATAACGAGATTCACATGAGAAGAGATGAGTTCAGTGATCTTAATTAAAACATTCCTTAGTATTCTTAAGTTTATAAATCAGTATTCCTATACAGAGGGTGTTATAAGCTTCACGTGTGTAGGTTTCTGTGTGTGTCTGTGCCCTCGAAGTTTTAAAAGGAATGGCTCAATTTTGATGACCTTTTGTTTTTATAGTTGATGTGATCGACATTCTGTTTATGAAGATCATGGACCATGAACCTGTTCCAATGATGAACCCAAAAGACGGCCATAGGAACTTCTTAACGTTTTGTCTTGGTGAGTACTTTGGGGCCACAGGATGTCCAGGGTGTTATGTATAGTTATTACATGTCCATAGTTATCTACCAATGCATATATGTTTTATTTGGCTGACTAACAATTGTGTACACTGATACATAGACATTAAATACATTCAATAGACTTTTACATCATGCACTACTTATTTGTTAACAATATCAGTAAAAATTTCACTAGTAGGCCTTCAGAAGGTCCTAGAAAGATCTAGGTTTAACGTACGCAAAATCCTTTAAACTTTTCTATGTAACTAACATAACTACATAGTAAGCAGCGAACCTGGTGGTTTTGAAACGTACTAATGCAACTAGAAGCGCCATACAGATCGTAACTAAAATAGGTACTACTTTTCGCGCATGCGCAATGTAGCACTTGGGGAAGCTGATCACAGTAGAACACGTGGAGTAGGTGTTTCTTATAAATATTTTGTGTGCTAGTAAAGTGGGTCATGAAGATTGTGTTAATAACTAAATTGTTTGTAGTTTATGGCTTACAGCACGCAATGATATATCACTTTGTTTCTCTATTCACACTTTTGTTTATTAATAACCGTATCTATAAAAATATGGCGATTTTTCTTTGTCATAAGTGTCTCAGTAACATAAAGGTCAGTGATTGATTCAACTGACGCTTAGAACAATTAAATAACTGAACGTTAGGAAAAATTAAATAACACAAATAAGAATTTAGTGTTATGAGTACCTACTCACTGCAACCTACTGTACCTACTAAATGGAATACTATAAAATATAGTGTACCTACACTATACTTTAATAGTATTACATTTTGATAAATGATGTTGAAAACGTAAAAAAATTCAAGTTAGTCGTCCACTACTTTATTGCAGGGCAGTTTAAGTGTTCCAAAATTCTAAATTAAATATATATTTTTAGTCAGAGTTTACTTGTGATTATATTTAATTAAAAACAATGTTACCCATTCCAACTCACCTTTCACACATATTATAACACCCTTCGTTTAAAGATATCATAAAAACATTTTTACAACATAATAACGACTCCATGCATTTCTTATACGACGAGAATAACATCCCTTGCGATTGGGGTGTGATCCGCGATCGTAAGGACACTTAAAACATAAAAATTAACAAAATAACACAATCTTGTAAATAAATAACGTATTGACTTATAAAATAGTTTTCTATACACATATATTTTCAGTGAGGTTTTAGAAAATTTTGTGAGTTGTGTGTGAAAAAGTCATGGTTCTGTGTTATAGTAAAGATGTCTACGGTAAGTAAAGATTCTATGTTGTAATGTTATTTTTACACGTTCTATTTTTAAACTAGCGACACCATTTTCTTTTCATTCTTATTGTAATAGTGTTTTTTATTGTTTTATTTTTCATTGGACATGGTAATCAATTGTAAGCTTGTCCGCTTTCCATAATAATCTTGGGTAATCTCTAAACATGATTCATAAATATAATAATAATTTAATTGAAAAACACGTAGTAAGTACTAAGTTACTGACATTAAAAGACGCAAGAATTATTTACACATACGTATACATATAAATATATAGGTATTGATTTCTCTCTATAATAAATGTATTTTTTTTATGAAAAGTAAAATGACGTTTCTTTTTTTTAATAATAGATTAAGTCTTATTGGGTAACAGGGGATTCATATTCAATTCATTTCCAAATAGGACCTGAGTTTATATTTGGAACGTAATATACCTACTAACTTTGTTTTTTTTTTTAAATTACAATATTAGTCCTTGTAGATAATATTAAAATAACGTTAATCTTAAGGTAAGATATAAATCGCCAGTGACCCAATTTGTCAGGTGACATTTACAGAGTCGTGACCTAGGTCATAGGTTCGGGAATAGTCTGGGTAACATAGAAACAGAATTTAGATGCTTTTACGTGTCATCGACTACATTAAACTTTACGTTCATTTCTTATGACAGGACATATTAAAATGAAAATAATACGTCATAAAATGCGTAAAAATAGCTTTGAAATGAGAGGAGTGGAATAAAAACGATTAATATAGATATTATAATAAGGATGTGAAGGTTAAGATTACAAAATAAGAATTAAAACTTAAAATGATTGTCATCTGACAGACAGAGGCGGATTTTAGACTTAGTTTAAAAATAGAAAGTCACTTTACGTTTTAGATCAAGTTCGAAAATTATTAACTACATATTATCAGAAATAGAACACATACCATAAAATACAATATCTTAATAATCTACAAATAAATACAAAAACTAATGCTTGCTGTGATTCGTCCATTTAACATTAAGAAGTTCTGGCTTAATTTCTTTAAAAAATACGTGGAATTGTCAAGGGAATAGGAATAATTGAGGATCGTCGTCAAAGACTTTGTAATCCTTAGTTTCTGGTGAAAAAATAAAAATATGATCATTTTTTTCGGTCTTGAAATTTTATAATCATACGTAACGTACCTAAATCAAATTTAAAAAGTGAGTACCTCGATTCCAATTAAACAAAGTAACAGTAATAACAGTAACGTCACACATCTCACCCCAAACTACGCAGTAGGTACCAGTCTAGTTACCATAGTACCCTGTAGGTACTATGGTAACTAGACTGCTAAAAAACATACTTAAATATTTCTAAATAAATACATATTTAATTTATACTTCTACTCCAAGTTTAATATTTATCGGTATAATTAGCATAGGTACTACACATTCTTAGCAGGAAACATCGTCAAAGGAGGTTCACGTTGAGGTGGCCTTCTAGTTCCCGTGGGACAATTGACAAGGCATGTGGGTCATGACCTTTCCTGTACCTGGTTTAGCTAGAATTAATAAATTATATAACTCATCGTTCCGATTTTTTAAATTTGATCTCGTTACTAAATATTTTTACATCTTTTTCATTAGTTTACAAATTTTTTTTAGATGGTTATAGAAAAAACTACCCATATTTAAATTTTTTATATGGTTGGTATATTATGGATTTATAAAATTAATATAAACTAGAATTCGCTTCTCTCAAATATCAAGTTGAAATAAGTTACAGTTACGATCAACGATATATAAAATAAGAAAATCTATGATGACTTCAAATGTACGAGACCTCATCTAGACAATTTTGTTTCCCCCTACAAATATATATGTATTTAAATATTAGGGGTTAAAGTATGAAATTGCCGATTTGTACTGAAAAATTAAAACATTTTTTGACGTGACAACGTCTTATAAATTGGTTTGCCGGGTGACACTTCAAGAAACTGCGTTACGCTCCGCTCACGTTATGCGCTCACAATGAGAGCGAGTGAGAGGCACGCGTCCCTTCCACTCGGGCATGGTTAGCCCGCCTAAGAGCGAGAGAGACAGACATAAAAAATAAAATTTTGTTAATATGAAATTCAGTGCGAGATTCTTTGTATAAATTAATGTTTTAAATATAATTCTTTGTATAAATAAATGTTTTAAATTGTTACTATTATTTCATCCTTCTTCCTACTATACGAATGAATATTCACATTAAAATTATTTTACCACTCAAATTCGTTGTCACGTAAAACTTTCGCCCGTATACCGACTTTACAGGCAACCAATTTTTTTCCCAAGATGTAACATGTTTTTTTAATCAAAATATTTAACATTATCTATAGATTGCTGCCATCTACGAGGCATGACTTTTAAGTTTTGTCGTTTGAAGAAAAAAAAA